GGCAACGAGGAGGCCGGAGCAGCAGCTTCGATGTAGCGCCGTTCAAAGCCGGGAGAGCTCCATCGACGTCGCAAAACATATGCTACGGTCACGAAGAGAGAAAGGTGACTGGGTATACGCAAGGCGTGCTCAATACCTCCTGTCTTCTTGGCATAGTCACCTTTCTAGCAAAGCGGCAACAAAGAAGGGAGTGTTGGTGCTATATCGCGTGGCCACCACCATTCGCGATCACCGAACCAACGACGGTGGTGGGCCACAATACGCGCTGGAGCTGGAGGTGGTAGCGATGGTGGTGGTGGTGGTGGAGGTGGTGGTGGAGGTGGTGGTGGTGGCGCTCGAAAGTGATGGTGGTGGTGGTGGTGGTACCGATCAACCGTCTTTCCACCACCAAATCCGCCTTCCTTCGATCAGATTTTTCCGCTCTTCGTATCGGTAACCCTGAAACCATTCTCGGCTTACGTGACCGAACGAGAGAGAAAAGTTTCTCCACGTCGATCTCCACGCTCTTTCTCCTGCAAACGAAATACCGAGGGTTAGTTTGGATCGTCGAGTAAAGATACGATCGTAAAATCGCGTGAAATATTCCGTACCTCTCTTCGCAGGAATTTTTGAATGGTGTATCGTATCTCGGAAAGTGTACTCGAGTCGAGATCTTCTCCCATGGATACAAATCTCTAATAAAAGAAAGAGAGAAAGAACAAGCGATGCCAATTTAATCACGGATAAAAAAAAAATATAAAATAATATAAAATGAATTATAAATATATTCCTCTATACACGAGCCAACGATTATTAGGTTTGTATAAAAACTTTATTTCCTCGGCCATGTATAAAATCACCAATATTTGTTCGGATATACGTTATCTTGACGAAAGGAGATTACATTGACCATCAGCAATTGGAATTGTAATAAGAAAACTACTACGTTAATTTTAAAATAGCCTTCTGTTAGAATTTAATATGTTTGATACCGTAACAAATGTGGATAAGTTTGTTTAGAACAAAAGCGACCATTTTGCACAGTCCCGTGTGTAATTAGATTTACATGGTGAAGAGTATGCAGGAAAGAAGAACCAGATTTATTTATGACGATAAATAAGTAAAGAAAAAGAAAAAAAAAAGAATCACTTCTTATATTATTGAATAAAGAATAGAACGAATGAGAAAATATTTATTAAAAAGAATCCTTTATTCCTGCTGACCCTTCGAGCATTAAAATCAGCAATACGATAAAAAATATAACATTTCCAGTAACATATATTATAACATTATCGCGATAAAGAAATGCCATTGGTGGAATTACACAGTCCTTTTTAATCCTGTATCCGATAATTACGAATATATCACATGATAATTATGAACATATCACATATATATGTACATTATTTTCATTCCTTACACTGTGAAAACACAAATACGGCATCCAGTTTAGCTACGTGGATCGTGTACTTTTCCCTTGGATGTATCGATATAAATGAACGTAAACGACTAGACAATACTTGCGATATTGTCACAAGTAATTTCTTACTTCTTTTTAAAGATCTCCTGAGAGCGATCGAACTATACATATACATATTCGAGACGAACAAAACAAAAATACGTAATATACGTATACATGTACAACAATACGTAAAATATTGAAATACTTTCTACAATATTTTGATTACGAATAATCTGTGTCTAGAATACATAGAGAAACTACGAACATACAATGTTGAGTGTGTACATTGAAAAACGAATGAAACGTTTTATACATAAACTTACACTTATTGCAACAATGAACGTTGAACAGAGGTAAACATTCATTTTTTTTTTTTTTTTAAAACATCGAGCAAGATCGATAGCGTTAATTATTGTTATTGGATTATAAAAATTGAAATATAAAAAATTATATTTATATCAATAGCTCTCAGATAGTCCACGAAGTCGTAAGCTGTATTTCAGTTCTCGCGTTAAATAGATCCATCCCTGAGGCTACTAATCGAGACGTAATCCGGACATAGCTACATGTTTTGTTTGATTTATATAAAATATTATCTGCACGATAATTATTGTTTCAACGATTAGAGAAAAGTAAGCGTTTGATAAATTTGGTTTCGAGCGATTTCAATTGACTACAATTAGAATACATTGTATGTAGCTTCCAAAGGCCGGTTTTAAAAGTCGAAGAATTTGTCAAATAATGTTCGTTTTTTTTTTTTTTTTTTTTTTTTTTTTTTTTTTTTTTT